CAATTTCAATAATTTTATCACCAATCGATCAGAAATATGGCCACGCTTCCGAACGTTGATTTTTAACCAGAAACTATTGAAAAACTGGTAAATGTCCAGCATTGTCCAAAAGCGTCGAATTAACTAACAAATCCACCAATTACCTACATGCATATGCTGCTTCCCCAGCACAGTCGTCAGAGCGTAGTAAGTAGACGAAACAAGTCGAAGTGGCATTTGCCTCCGATCCTCGGGCACGTGCGAATAGGGAGGATGGAATAGCGTAATATTTTGCACACTCATCGCCATATTGAGAACCAAACGCAAATTCTTCGAGATAACTACCATCCGTCGTCTGGCTCGCCGTGGCGGTGTCTGACGTATCTCCGGTCTGATTTACGAGGTGTGCTGAAGGTGTTCCTGAAAAATGAGATCCGTGATGCTACACTAAACACGCCAAGCGTAAGCGGCCATGGATATCATCTACGTTTTGAAGTGACAGAGACGCACTTTGTTTGGTTTCGGAGGTTAAATCATCACCAACTTTGGCAACAAAACGGTTATTTTCAGGGCCACCAAGCTTATTACAGTAAAGAGTAGGAATAGAATTCATCTGCCTGTTTGTCCATCTTCAGAACCAACGATCACACAAAATGCTCATGTAATCAAACTGGAAGCAGGGGTACAAATTATTTTGATCAACCGTAATCAACTTTGAATTGTCACGGCCGGATATTTTCGACGGAAGAAGCAACAGGTTGGTTGGTTGGTTGTCTTTATTAAGGAAATTTTCAGCCAGACGCTGGTTCATCTCTGGACAGGAAGAAGCAACAATCTAGCATCTAATTCGACGAAGACGGCAGGAAACATTTGTGAAGCCGAGTTATTTACGAAAGATAGTGTCGATGAAGAGAATCGATCAATGTAGATAGGATCTATTGAAAAGTGACGCTAGATTTGTTTTCCGTACTGAGCTCCAATGCTACCGACGCCAGGGAGGCAGCTCCCACACCTAGACCCTACCAATCGACCCATCAACTCAACCGGGGACCAACGGCTTTACTTCCCGAAGGAAGGCGTGATCAGAGATGTTATGCCTTAGAACATGCCGGTGGCGCCGAATGAGATTGGACCCAGGCCTGCTGGGGGAGAGTTAATCACGCTAACCACCGGCGCCTGCCCCGTAACGTGGGTAGATCACCTTTTCGTGGTACGTTACGGGATGTAAGATCTACCACCGATTCCTAGTCCTAACTTCTTCAAACTAGGGGAACAGGATTTTTCAGTAATCAAAGGAACACATCTTAGTCCTTGTTACTTTTTATGCCTTGTTGATAGTGATAAGTCCTCGGGTTGCCTGGACCGAGGATGATCTTGAAACAATGGAAAAAATGAGTTAGTTAGTCTTCATCTATGTGATTCCTAATCTTCTAATCGTTGTTCCCTAGTTTGAAGTGGTTAAGACTAGGGTTCTGATGCATGGTCATTATCGGTGTCATAGCTTGTTTTTGTTGTTAAGGAATCCAATTTTGACTGACAAAGGGGCGCGCCTTTGGAGGGTGTTCCAACTCCGAAGGGTATAAATAGCGGAACCTTTCAGTTAGAATCGATTCCTTGCGATGAAGGCAAGAATGACAACTGTATCAAAACCGAATACTTCATCATTTCTCAATAGTGATGGAGTAATACGACATGCACTAAACTAAGGACACGGGATATACTACAAAAGATCAAATTACTGGTCGCAGTGGTGTTATGTCCCGAACAGAGGAAAAAAAAAACCACCAGCGCCGATATCTTTCAAGGTAATATCGGCGAATGAGAACGAACCAAATTTGAGTTTAGTTATCTCAGAAATAAGAAATAAAGTGCAGGAGCTCAGCGATGAGTAAATTTGCCTCATGTTTTCCCAGGTTTTTCCAGGATTTTCCAGGAAAAAATTCCCGAATTTGAGAAAAGTAAAGATTGGATTCACTCAGTCTATTGGTACTACTCCGAGACTTAATAAAATTTTCGTCGATTTCCTCATTTTCTGGCAGATTTTTTAGGTTTTCCACAAGAAACCATGAGACAAATTTACTCATCGCTGAGTTCCTGCACTTTTGGCGATTATGAGTGAACTAATCTCAAATTTGGGTCGTTCTCATTCGCCGTGTACGCAAAAGGAAAAGAGCCAGTGTCGCTACTTGATAGCAAACTACTCATAATGGGAGGAGTCTTTGTAGCTTTTATACCACTTGGTTGCACATCATTCTGCTTTAATCTGAAAAGATATAAAAGAGCGCTGCTGTATGGCATCAGCTCGGACGGCGTGGTGCACAGCAATAGCAGCAGTAGGAAGGTGGTGGCTAGTCCACTCCTTCACACCTAAAAAGCATCAATTGACTGTGACTGGTCGTGGCAAAAGAGGAAAAGGTCTGGTGAAGGAGGCGCCAAGCGTCATCGCAAAGTTCTTCGAGAAAACCGCCATCGGTCGTCTGGCTCGCCGTGGTGGTGTCAAACGTATCTCCGGTCTGATCTACGAGGTGTGCTGAAGGTTTTTCTGGAAAATGAGGTCCGTGATGCTGTCACCTACACTAAACGCGCCAAGCTTAAGTGGCCATGGATGTCCACTTCAATAAAACGGCCCTTTTCAGGGCCATCAAGCTTACATCAGTAAACAGTTGGAATAGAATTTATCTGTGCTTGTTTGTCCATATTCAGAACCACAAGCCCCCAACGACCACACAAAATGCTCTCCAGAGTTGTAATCTTGTAACCAAATTTGGAAGCAGGGGTGCAAGTGATTTTGATTGATTTCCTTAATCAACTTTCACTTTGAAAATAAAAATACTACACATTTGGTACGCCTACAATTCAAAAACGGAAAGAGTTGAGGTAATAGATAATTGATCAATTAAAATGCTCTTCACATTTATTCCGTCCACTAGCGGTCCTACGTCAAGCTTCCGTTCGTGCCCCTAGGCACAGACCCTTCTACTTTTTTCTGCCCCTTAGTAGAAATATACAGCAATAAAATTTTAACATGAAAGTATTAAATAATTCATTCATTTGCACTGAATTTTACATGCATATTTGTTTTAACAATGAGCTTAAAAGTTAAATTGAAATTGATTTAGTTTTCAATAAACAACGATAAAAATGTACCTGATCATGTTTATTTCAGATATTGTTCATTGAATTTACGATCGTTGAACGTGTAACTTTAAATTAAAAAACTTGCTCCAGGCGGTAGTTGAAAATTATAGAATATTTTTATTTGTGTTACTAAATCCAGATAATCTTTTATCAAATAACGAAGTATGTACTCCTTCCTCGCATAGACATTAAGAAAATCATCTACCTAACTGTCTACGTTGTTCATGGACAGCCCCATGTCACTTTAAAAATTATGAAATTCAGACTTGAGCAACGTTTTGAAACTCTTCGTTTGTTGAAAGCTCTGGGGCTTGGAAGTGATTTAACAATGTATAACTATCATCCTTTGAAATATGAACCGATGAGTTGTTGAAACTCGTGACTATATTGTCTTCGTTAATACTTCGTGCTACGATAGTTTTTATGAATGCTAGCGCAGTGCTTCCACTGACAACATAAATTTTCGCTCGAATGAGGACATTTTTCAAATAAAAATTCAAGTGCATTTATTATTTGTTTATGTTTTAATGGGTGTTCAATAAAAAAATGAGAATAATGTCAGTGCCTTCCAGCGCTATTGTGAGAGCATTGCGACTATGTTGCGTCGTACGGCTGTATTCATTGACGTTTTTTTGAAGAATAAACATTATGTTTTTAATAAAAATACTGAATTCGTTGAAAAAATAATTTTTACTAGCTATGACTGAAAAAAATCTCATTTTTTATTGAACACCCGTTATGAACGTTTTATAACAGCGTCGACCATATCCAACTGAACTGAGCTGGAATTGTTTAATAAATTACGTTGAAATGTTTCCATTGGTTAGAAACTGATGTGCAGCAGATTTCTTACAAAGTTTCCTGCACTTAGGCAATGATACATCATCATGATATCTTTGATTTTCCGTTGCAAAATGACTGAACCTAATAAATTGTACAATTCATTTCATACAACACGCAGTCAATAATAAAATAACAATGTATTAATTAATTAACCTACCAAGGTACGAAGGGCAGTCACTGTACCAAGTAAAACTGAAGCACACCCATTCATTCCATGATTTCGCATTCATTCTCACCCAAAGCTTCCATCTAAACTTAAATAAAACTACATTGCATTCATCACACCGGAAAAACTGGTAGCTTACGCTTGGTTTGGTTTTTTTTTGCTTTCACGCTCCCATCGATATATACCTTCACCATCGAAAACAACAAACCATCACCCCGGAAAAAGGAGTCCCAATCAAAATCTACCCCTCCGCTCACAACGCTCCCGTCCGTGGACGGACCGAACCTGCCCAGTGTGGTCGAACTGGCGCTTGACGTGAACTATCGTGACATCTACAACTATGTCAAGTACTCGCTGGTTTGCTACAGCTCCGGATGCATCGATCCCACCGATATCGCCAACATATGCTGTCCGTTTTAATCAAATTCCAATTTGAAAGCACCAAAAACGCGCTCAAAACAACAACGCAATCCTGCAATTAAACGGTCCCATTCGGCATTCGAACATCGCTGCTGCTCAGTTTTTGCTGCCGACTCATTGAATTAGCAAAAAATATATAAATTTCCGCCTCCTCACCGCAGTAGTTAGTAGCAAATTGGTGAACCCGAAGAAGGATAACATAGATTTGTAATTTGTTTGGAAAATTCACGCTAACATACATTCCGCTCACGCTAGCGTGCTAATTGCCAATCACACGCTGTTGCCACATGCATATGCCATCCTGCGCCTGTTGGTTTTTATATTTTCATCGGGAAATCGGTAAAATCATCAGAAAATAATTATCGGTTGCCATGCTGCCGATATGCCACAGCCGTTTTTCGTCGATTGAATCTCCGGTCAATAATGTTGTGTATCGGAAAATATGCCATTTCAGGAACTTGTTGAACCACCGCAGGACTTTGCTGCCAACCTGCTGAATCATTTCGAAACGAGCTTTGGCATGACGGACCGGGACGTGTACAGCTTTGTCCGGTACGCTATGATTTGCTTCCCCAGTGGTTACTGCTTCGATCCGGATGACGTTGGGACCATTTGCTGCCCGTTCTGAGCAGGGAGAATGAACCGGCGGGATGGGAGAAAGTTCGTAGCGTAAAATCTGATGTTTGAAGCAGAATGAACATGCCAATAGAAATTAAATCGGTCCCGATTTTTTCACAGTCACCGTGTACAATATTTTTTATGTAATACTGCAGTAATAAAACGCTTTCTAAGCAAATGCATACTTTTTTATATCACAAATCAGTCAAAATGACGAATCGATAAATATGAACACTACAAATACAGTACAGGGTACTAGAAGTAATTTCAACACCCCGACCCGGACTAGCCTGCTGCTGGTTCCCGCCTTCATCGTTGGACCAAATGGAAAATTCCAAATGTACTGACGATTCTTTGGAATTTCTTCTTACTGTAAGTATGTTAATAAAGACTTTAATCGAAAAAAAAAATGCAACAGACAAAAATGATCACCAAAAATTCATTTTAAGTCGGATATTTTTGAAACTCTCAGGCGATCAATAAACACTTATTAGCTATGTTTTTGCATAGGCTAAATGCCGCACCTTGGACTACTCATAAAATCCTGTGCAACACTTGCGCCATCTTTCTTACACACTTTCATCCACTCTTTCTTCATTCTTGTCGTTTTTGAAGACCTTCCTTCCGGAGCTTGCTCTTCATATGCGCCCAGAATTTTTCTTTTAGGCGATGTTCTGGCGACTTTGGCTGATTTGCCTCCTTCGGTACAAAAACAACATCGTTGGCTTCGTACCACTCCATCACTGGTTTCGCGTAATGGCACGATGCCAGATTCGGCCAAAACAGAGTGTCACCTTCGTGGGACCAGAGAAAGGACAGCAAGCGCTTCTGGAGGCATGCTTCTTTATATATTTGGCCGTTGGTGGTGCCACTCGTTATGTACGGCTTGCTGAATTTGCCACACCCACATACCGCCTGCCACACTAAGTACTTCTTGGCACCTTCTTCTTCCGGAACTTCTCCGGCACATCTAGGTGGGACATGCTGACGAAAAATTCCAGACCAGGGATCTGCTTTTTGTCCACTTTAATGTACGTCTCGCCGTAGCAAGGGCGCTATAACCTAGGCGAATACAGCATTCCCTCCGTATAGGTTACGTCCGCACACCGCTCTCTGTTGTCCTTCGACTGAGGTCGGCTGGATCGATTGAGGGATGGCAGTGGGTGGGCGGTGCCGTCCACGCTTGTACGGAGGGAGGACTGTACGCTCGAACACAAGGGGTAAATACCTGTGTTCCATCCCAGGAGATCGGACAACCAAGGAGTGTACATTAACTTTCTTAGCTCTGTCACTCCCAACGATTTATATAGCCTATTTTCAAATCCTGCATACGGAGCGGATGGTACGGTATGTCCCCGCTCTTTGATTACCTGTGGATTAAATGTTAACCACTGTCTATACTTATTAAGTAGACATGATAAACATTCACTTCCACAAAAATTAACTAAACGCTACACAGTAGGCCTGGCCGCTTTATTGTTTGTTTCACATCCTTGATGTGCAGCAGGCATTAATAATGACAAGAAAAATGATAGATGTATCATTTTCCAGGATTCTTTCAAGTACTGGCTGTGTATGTGTAGACTAGACTAGACTAGACTAGACTTTAATGTACGTCTCACCGTCCATTACGATGCATTTCGGCTGCACCAACCACTCGCGGTACAGCTTGCTTACCTTGAAGACATGAAGTCCGGCCCGCTTCATTGCCTGCTGGACGAACCAGATGGAAGAATTGACCTTCTTGGTCACGTCCCGAATCGAACGGTTCGGATTGCGCTTAAAGTAATACCTCAATTTCCTTCCGGTCACGGGGTCGGTCGTCTTCGCTTTTCTTCCACTGCCAGCTCGCCGTTGGGTCGTCTGGGTCTCCTTGACCATACGGTCAAATTGTCGATTCCAAACTGTTTCGCGATCCACCTGTGGGGCTGGCCTGGATTTTCCACGACCGCTCCCATAATTTCTTGTCTAAGCACTTCTTGCTTGGAAGCCATATCGATAGCCACTTGACTTGACAGATTGTGACGAGATTTTGCACATGTGAATATTATATTCTAAACTAGTTTTACTCAAAATTTCATAAATTTTTACCCATGCAATAAAAAGTTATACAAACGATTTTTTCGAGTACAATCTTTATTTCCCAATAGATTTAAGAACTTGGTAATACATATCATGACTTGACAAGGTTTGAAGATAAACTCCTTTCATATTTAAATAAGTTATTTTGTCCTACACACTTAGAAATAACTAATTTTACATGTTACGGAATCCATCTTTCACATAAAAGATGAGACGTAAACAAACATGTCATGTAATATTAAGTGCTCCGAGACTGAAAAATTCGTTGCTCGACGAAAATTACGTTTGATTAAGCTATATTTCGCGTCTGTTATGACTCAAATTTATATCAAAATTGATGCTCGTATATGTCACTCTCAGAGCACCTAAATAAACATGAGTTTATCTAAGTGTTTAGGTAATTTTTAATTACTAAAAGCACGTGATAGTCCAGTCACTTCGAACCAATGGAGTAGTATGATAGTTTTGAGGCAAAATCATATAACATAATATTTTCAAAAAAAAAAAATATATATTTGTACATATATATATATATGTATATCTAAAAACGAAAAAAAAAACACTTTCCTGACTTTTGATACGTGTATTAAAAAATAATGAGCTTAAAAAAACACAAGGGTTTCTTTGGTCTTGGCCCTGTGAAACCCATAAGAAAATAAAATAAAATAAAATATTTTCTAGAATATTACAACCAGTTTTAACTTGAGTTTCGTATTTTTCTAGACAACCCTCTTACATACCATACATTTCCTGAATAAACATCGAACATCAGTTAAGTAATTGAAAAGTTAAGAGTTTTAAAAGTTGGGTATAAAGGCAAAAATGTCGATTTTTTTACCACCCTAAATCAGGAATGTGCACCCTAAGAGTGAAATTAAAGAGTAAGAGGTTGTATCCAAAACACGACCGTAGATTTAACTTAGGATTTCGAAATGTAGTTTTGATGTCACAGCAAAAGTTTAGTAAACATTGAATTGATTTCTTAACTCGTTATCAGTAAAAAAAAGGTCGATAGGTTGAAATTCGGAAGCAATGTGAAAGTTCTGTTTTTGAAGTGCTTTGTCGGTGTCCATGTAGTACAAGCTAATCCTGGACGGTGTGTCTTTGATACGAGATCTTACTTGAACTCTTTAACTAACTCTTTTACCAGTCATTTGTGGTCCTGAAAGGACCTCCCAGACAACCAGAATGAACGTATATTTAAAGTTGTTTCTGTGATATACAAACATAGGGTTAACTACCCCATTTCCGGACTATTAAGCACAACCCGCACTTAGTCTTTCCTAATCTAGCACAGTTTAACACCAAACGGAATGTTATTATCACTGATGGCTTCCAAATTTATTTACCTTTCCGTACGTACCGTGAGATTTGATAAAGAGAAACCAATCGTTGAGATATTGTCAAAAGTCTAACACTGCTTCTTGACGCCAAACTCGGCCTACGGATTCTAAACTCGGCCTAACGCATTGAAACGCCAATGAATTCACTTCGGCCTATCGGATGAAAATAAAAATTGATTCGATCGGAGCGCTTTTTTGTTTTTGGGAATAATGGGTGCAAACCTTTACATCACGCGTTCTCATTAACTTCGTTCCGTAGCTTATTAACTAAAGTATCGTACCAAACGCATAATTGACTTGTTAACTCTGAAATCATGGATTTATTTGAAGTTTTCTGCTCGATAGGCCCAAAATGGGCGATTAAGCCGAAGTAGTGCTCTACCCTATATACAAACAAACAAATCGTATAGAATGCAAAAAAAAGGGGCCTATACCTACAAAATTGGAGGCCATATACGTGCAAATTTTAATTTCTTTTTAAATGAGTTTATTTTTTACCTTATATATGATTCAATCTGTAATAACAAATTCAATTTGAAAAACCTTGCGATGTAATCCGATTTAATTTGTGATACAGTACGATGAAAAAAAGATTCGTAGTTTATAAGTCGGAAATTTGCATTCTATACGATTTAACTTAAACATAATGCGATGTGCGTCATATTTATATGCGATGTAGACTTAAACTGTAGTTATTTACGATACTTTCTGAACATTGTTATACGACTTCTGGTTGTCTGGGCTACGCGTTGGAAGTTTGTAAGGCAGTTTAGAACAATGCTGCGGAATTTTTATCTCGATGTTCTTGAAGATGATAGCGGTGCGGAAATGAAATATATATATTAGGGAAAACACATATATCATAGAAACTGAGCATACCTGACGGTACCTAAGTTTATGCTTTTTAATGTAAATCTTAAGCTCCTCCTATTAAGAGAAGGATTTTTTTTGGCATAATTCTCTAATAAAAGAGGCTTAAAATTTGTTAAAAAGCAAAAGATAGGTACCGTTAAGCATGCTCAGTGCTCAGTACCAATATTCGGTGACTGTGTTAGGGAATCCACTTTTCCCATCACGGAAACGCCTCGTTCTCACGGAATGTTTGGCTTATTTAAAATATAATAAAAAAGCGAAAATGGATCGGAGGAATTTCTTGCTAATTTTTTTCCAATCGCGAGATATTCGTGATCAATAATATAAATTCAAGATTACTGAACTTTTTCAAGCGTCCTGGAAAAAAACTCACCTTAATTCGAAGTGTTTCTGGTTAAGGGACATGGTCATGTGGTATTCGGTCATTGCGAGAATTTTTACATTCCACTTCAATACTTGACGCATTTGAACACAAAAATTTCGTTGCTGTGTACATTATCAAAGAGCTTTGGAGGAAATTTGGCTGGCAGCAAGGCGAGCGAACGTTCAATTAAAATTAGCTCTTAAACAATAATAATTTACGGTAGTCCTGAAAAGAACCATTTTGTCGTGATGGTTGAGTAATGCTGAGCTATAAGGGAGCTCAAAACGGATGAGACTGACGAGCTGTATGTTGTTTGGAACGAGGGTGACGCGTTTGGCATAGATGGCCCACAGCGACTCGGCCTGCGGGTAGCCTTTCGTTGTGTACTGGAGAACAATGTTCAACGCCACGTGCTGGAATCACTGCTGTTGCTGCTGCTAATGATGACCGACTGAATATCACTAC